GGCATGGGGACAGCAGGAGGGTCAGCTGCCACCTGGATCTGCCCCAGCTCCTGTGCCCTTGAGTAGGGCCAGGGTGGCCCCAGGGGTTGTGTTGCCCTGTGGCAGCGAGCTGGGGTGGCTGGTGCTGCCCGCTGGCTGGTGGGCAGGAGCCAGGCGGGGCCACCAGCCAAGCCCATGCTAGGGAGGCAGAAAGGGCAGTGGGGACATACACGGGTAGCCCAGCCTTGGGTGCTCCCCGGGAAGGAGGGGGGGAGTGTGCACACCCCCCCCCAGGGTGCTACAAAAGCTTGGGGTACCCACAGGGTGGCTGGTCAGGGTCAGTGTCACAGGCCATCATCCATCATCCATCTCTGGGCACGGCTGCAGGGTGCTGGAGAGCTGTGGGGTGCTGCTGGGCTACGGGTGCCGGGTACAGCCCCCATGGGTGACAAAGCAGCAGGACCCTCTGCAGAAAGGAGGGGCACTGCTGGCCAAGGGGCGCCCGCTGATGGCCCTGTTGACGCTGCCAGCCCCACTGCCACAGTCTGTCCTCCCCTCCCCACCACCCCAGGCACCGCTGCCAGGTTGCGCCAGCACTCAGCCAGGCCGTCTTGTCCCTGTACCTCAAGGCCAACCCCTCCCAGCTTCAAAAACCATCCTGGGGTGTAGCAATTGCTGTCCCAGAACCACCAGTGACCCAACAATAAGAAAACAGTGCAGGTGGCTCCTGTACAGGGCCAGACACAGAACAATGAGTGCCAGGGCAAGGGCGACAAGGAAGAGGACACAGCAGAAAGGTGGCAGAGCTGCAGCAATGCCCTGTGGTGGGGGAAGCGGCCAGTGAGGGCAGGCAGGAGGGTGAGGGGCTCTGGGAGGAGGGACATGGTTGGGGGCAGAGGGGAGAAACAGCTGGTGCCAGCGTGTGAAATACCCTGTGAAATACCCCTCTGCCCCACCACGTGCCCCTCTGCAGGGGCGCTGCTGCCCGGCCCTGAGGATGGTGCCAAGTGCCCCGCACAGGCATGGCAAGGCCAGGCAGGGCCACGGCGCTGGCAGCCCAAGGCTGACAGCAGCACGGGTGGGCAGCAGGCAGCAGCGGGGCCAAGGCCCCCGTCTCAGGCAGGCTGGAGATCGCTGGTGACATCCCGTCAGTGACAGAAACGAACTGTAGGTGAAGCACCAGAGCTCCTGCCCCTGCGGTGCTGGAGCCTGAGCTCCACACAGCACCAAGGGCAAGCACCAAGCCAGGGGTGATGGAAACAAGGCAAAAGCAGCTGTCCTTCCTCCTGCCCTGCCAGGGCCAGGCCTGGGGTGGTGCCAGTGCTGGCAGTGCCGGGGGGAGGGTGTCCCTCAGCCAAGGGTCCTCAGGGTAGGAGCAACATGGGTGTCCAACCAAAGGCATCGCTCACAAGCCTCCTCTGCTACCAGGTGCGTGGGGCTGGTGGTGCTGGCACCAAGCCGTGTCCTCTGCACAGTCTCCGTCCGTGGCACATGCTGCCTGGGCGAGCCAGCCGAGGACAGTGGGCCCCGGCACCATGCAGTGACACTGCCCCAGAGCTGAAGGGGACAAAGGCCACCCAGGGGTGGCTCGCAAGGTCCGTCCAGGCCAGCACAGTACTCGCCGTGTCCTCCCTGGCATGTGCCACCGGCCATGGCAGCTCTGCTTGACGGGGTGAAGGGAGGGGAGAGGACAAAAGGGTTCAGTGGCTTCACAGCCAGGGGACACTGGCTGCTGCTGGGGCTTCAGCACAGCGTGTCCGTGTTGAACGAGAGCTGAGCCTGTGGGCAGAGACAGGCAGGGCTCAGAGGCTGGGCTGAGCAGGGGCTGCCTGCACTGCCCAGCACACTCTGTGCTGCTGGGGCCAGGATCTGGCCCGGTGGGGGGAGCAGCCACCCCTCCCAGACAGCTCTCTCTGGTCCATCCCTGGTCCCACCGTGTTCCCTTCCCTCGACGAGACCCGACACTGCAGCACCCAGCCCCAGTGTCCCACGGCAGGGACACAGCTAGGACCAGGGACACCCAGATCTAGGGACAACCTCACCCTCTCCTCCTCGAAGCTGATGAGGCCTTCGTCATCGGTCTCCAGGTCCTCCTGCTCCTCCACCACAAGGGCCCGCAGCTCTGTGGGGGCGGCCCGGGGGCGCAGCAGGCTCAGCACACGCTCCAGGGGCGATTGCAGGGCACAGCTGGGGCTTGTCTCCTGCTGCTCCAGGTTGTCGCTTTGCTTCTTGGCAAAATTCACAAACACCTGGGGGACGGATAAGGGGCAGGAGGCTGCAAGGGACCCCTGTGAGCACCTCCACACCCTGGCTGCCCCTTGCCTGCCATCTGCACCATTGAACACAGGCCCCAGCACATCCATGGGGCTGTGCCTGCCACCATACACCCCAGCTAGCTCCACCTCCTGCCCCAAAGGTGGCTTCTGATGGGCACTTTGACACAGCCAAACCTCGGCACAGCCACCCTCCCTGGGGACAAGCATCCAGCTGCCCACGCTGTCCCCACTCACGTTGTCCAGCGTGGTCTGGCTGACAGAGTAGTCTTCGATGCCCAGCACATCCACCACCTGCTCCATCTTGCTGAAGACCTGTGCCAGTGAGATCTGGTCCGACTTAAGCTGGTACTGGGCCTTGGTGTGGTGCCGCTCCTGCAGGGGACATGGAGGCGACACCCGTGACTCCCAGACGCCCTCCCATCACCCCACAGCGGGTCCCACAGGTGTCCCTTGGGGGACGAAGGCTGCTTGTGCCCAAAGGTGGGGGCTGGCACCACCACTGCAGGGAGCTCACCTTGAGGACAGCCTCAGGGAAGTTGCGGTTGAAGAACCTCACCACCTCCTTGATATTGAGGCTGGACTTGGTGCGCACTGTGATCATGTAGCCATCGCCAAACCTGCACAGGGACAAGGGACCCCATGAGGACCTGGACCCCACCCCCCGCAGCTCTGCAGGGAACGGCTGACCTCACAGGAGGGGAGAATGCTCCATGGCAGCCGCGACAGCCAGCAGAACAGTGCCAGGACAGCCAAGTGAGCCCACCCCCTCCCTGGCCACCCTCTGAAGCATCACCCCCATGAAGGGCTGACACCTTGCTGCAGGTGCCACACCGTTACCCTGCCATGGGGGCCTGGCCCCCTCCTGCCCCACAGTGCACACAGGGTGCTGGGCCCCCGCCGGGCTCTTACCGGTTCTTCAGGTGCTGGATGCTGCCAAGACACTTGAGGCGCCCATTCACCATGATGGCCAGGCGGGTGCAGAGCGCCTCGCACTCCTCCATGCTGGGGAGACAGGGCAGGTTCAGCAGGGTGGCATGGGGGAACAGCACTGGGGGCTGGGGCAGGTGGAGAGCTCAGCTCCCCACGCCATCACCCGGGTGCTGCGGCCCCACCACCAGTGATGGGAGAAGGTGACAGAGGGTATCCTGGGTTCCCCCCGTTCCCCATGCCCCTGTCGAGTACCATCCTCCCGGCACCAGAGAGCCCCCGCCTGCCCACACAGCACCCCAGGTGCTAGGAGGCATCACGGGTGCAGCTAGAAGTCCCCCCCCAGACCTGTGGGACGTAAGCACCACGGAGCGACCCGTTTTGATGACATCCAGGATGAGGTTCCACAGGAAGCGCCGTGCCTTGGGGTCCATCCCTGTGGTGGGCTCATCCTGCGGGACAGACAGCACGCTCAGACACGCCAGCCCCCAGGGGGACCCTGCCACCCCCTCCCTGTCCTAACCCCAGCTCAGAACACCACCCCACACCCCAGGAGACTTTGGCAGAGTTGGGGACAGGCAACTCCCACCCAGGGTCATTTCTCCACCCCAGCCCAGCGCCAGCCCCAGGGACACAGGGGGTGGGAGGAGGACCCCAGAAGCAGGGTGCTGGGACCCAAGACGCACCAGGAAGATGAAGGCTGGGTATCCGATCAGGGCGATGGCTGTGGACAGCTTCCTCTTGTTGCCTCCACTATAGGTGCTGGCGGGCTTGTCAGCGTACTTGGTCAGCTCCAGCTTCTTCAGTGCCCACTTGACCACCTGCAAGGTCCGTACGGCTGCTGTCACCTGCCAAGGCCATGGGGCTGGCAGAGCCGGCAGAAAGCAGTGGGCAAGTGGACCAGCTGCCAAGAGGACCACAAGCAATGTGCCAGCCAGGGGAGCCCCATGGCAGCCCCTGGCACAGCTCTGAGTAGGGGTCTGTGAGCCCGTGTGCCCAGCCCCAGCACCCCATGTGGGCAATTCACTGGGGTGGCACTGCTATCAGGGTTGGTACCACTGGCTCAGATTCCCCACTGGTACCTGGGGAGATGCCATTCCCATGGCACAGGGCCAGCCCATGCGTGCTGACAGTCACCCGCCCAGAGCCCTACCCTCTCCTCATCCTTCCAGGGGATGCCACGCAGGCGGGTGTAGAGCTCCAGGTGCTCCTGGGCTGTCAGCTCGTCGAAGAGCGCATCGAACTGAGGGCAGTAGCCCAAGCTCTGCTGGACCTGCAGGAGCTCCTTCAGGATGCTGTAGGAGAGGATGAAGGGCCATGGGGAGAAGAAATTGCTTTTCTGGAGCACCCCATTGTTTACCCTCCTTTCATGTGCCTTCACTGGAGCATCTTCTACCTGGTAACCCACAAAGGCAGTCTTGGCCAAAAGCTGCTGTCACTTGCCACCCCCCAGATGACGGTCAGCTCACAGCCCACAGGGCTGCAGAGTCTCACAGACCCATATGGGCAGATTCACACTGCTTCATCCTGGGAGACCCCCAGGCAGACCCCTTCGCATTCCCAGGACAGCAGGCAGTCAACTCCCACCCAGCCCGTGGCCCCCAACCTGTGCCCATTAACAAAGGCCTCTCCGCCCGTGGTGCTCTCATCCCCCGTCAGCATCTTGAAGGTGGTTGTCTTGCCCGCGCCGTTGACACCCAGCAGCCCGAAGCACTCCCCAGGCCGCACACCCACGCACAGCCGGTCCACGGCCAGGATACGCCCAATCTTACGGGACTTGTACACCTGGTGGGGCAGGGGATGGGGGCTCAGCCTGCAGGGAGGCACCTGAGCCCCCAGCCCCGATCCACGTCCCTCAGATGGGACGGCTCTGAGGTGTCTCCTTCCAGCCCTGGTGCGTCCTCCACCGCCACTGCCCTGCTGCTGTACCTTGGTGAGGTTCTCGATCTTCAGCATGTCATTGTCAGCGTCGCCACGCAGGACACGGTGCCGCTCGTTGGCCACATCAATGTCATCCTCGATGGGTTTGGTGGAGACGGGCAGCCGCCTGTGGGAGGGTGCACAGGCAGAGTGGGGATGCAGGCATGGGAGCTGCCTGCCTGCATCCCTGCCGGGAACGGGCAGCTCCCCAGTGCGCACCCACTGCAGGGACAACCTTGAGATAAGGGGTCCCGATGGCAAAGCCCCACCCAGCCTAAGCCCCACTTGCCAGCTGCACTCACTGGGGCTTCCGGAAGAAGTTGTACTGGCACATGATGGTGATGAAAAAGCCAACAAAGCCTTCGATTGTCATGGCAACGAGGCCCCGTGTCACGATGTCCCATTCGAAGGGCGATTTCATTTTATCAAACTGCCCTGAGTGGGAGAAAGAGGAGAGAGCAGCTGGAGACACCTTCCTGTGGAGACAACCTGGTCATACATCTTGAGCTGGCCTGTGACAATGACACTGTCCTGCTCCTGTGTGCCCTCCCCTGTGGCAGCTGCCTGTGATGGTCAGTGCTGCTGGCACCAGGGCTGGTCACGAGGCTTTCCATTCACAGCACATGTGCTGCTGAAATAATCCTGCAACTTTCCAACCTCAGCAGGATGCATCAACCCAACTGAGAGTGGGTATTGGATGGATTTGTCAGATCTTTCCCCAAAATTTCTCCTCATGATGCCAGCAGCACCTAGGTTATATACAGAAGCTGCTTGAGAAGTAGAGAACAGCAAGAGGTTTTTGAGGACAAGCTGAAGCTGTGAGTAGCAAAACACTCCATTTGTCTGGGCAGCGCAGCCCTGCAAGAGACCACATCTGGAAGGAAAGAGCCCTTGCAGTGTCCATCCCTCCTACCACAGCTCGGCCTCACCGCGGCCACCACAGCCCCGCCACAGGCAGTGTGCCACACCAGCAGCAATGCACAACTCTGCCAGGGCTCACAACCTCCTCTCCCTGTGGGGCTGCTATTTGGGATGGCCCAAGGAACTATTTTCAGCATCACTGGCACTACACCAGAGCTGACTGACAACTGTGTTTCTTCCTGCACCCTAGTCTAATTCATACCCCCTGGCTTTTTGCTCCAGGTCACTCTAGGCCTTGGGAAGCCCCACAGGGCAGGTGGAGGGGATGTGCCATCCCTATGGGATGTCCACATGCCCTGGAGCAAGGGAAGGACGGAATGAGCAGCCGTACCAATCTTGGCATAATATTCGTTGATGTATTCGTTGTAGGCCATCTCCATCAAGCCATGGCCCAGGTTGTAGTTAGGGAATACAAGGAAGCAGCTCTTCAGGTAGCTGTTCACCACCTTCAAATCCTGTGGGGACAGGCAGAGGACACGACTATCAGGAACACCCCTGAGGACTGTGAGCACGTGGTAGGATCAGGATCCCCAGCAAGATACAGCCTGGTCAGCTCTCACAGCTGACCCTGCTGTGAGCAGAGACCTCCTGAGGTCTCTCCCAGCCTGAGCTGTCCCCTGACCTGATGGCAGCTTCTCCCTTCCTGGCAGACCCAGGCAGAGCTGTGTCTCTTGTACCTTGTCATGCTCAAAGAGCTGCAGCAGGAACGTGGCGACAGTGGCTGTGATGCCAATGAAGAGGTTGATGACGATGAGGAAGACATAGGCAGAACTGGGCACCTCGAACCAGAAGGAGGCAGGGTACATGATGGGAGTGATGGACCAGCTGGGAAGGCGAGTGGCAGGAGCACACATCAGCATGGCACAAGAGGGACTAGGCAGCACCAACCATCAAGCCTTGGGATTGCCCCTCTCCCAGCCCCATCCTCCCATCCTCCCCGGGCTCTCCAACCCCAGGTCTTGCAGGCCACCAGCTACAGGAGCTGCAGAATGTCAGCCAGGTGGGCAGCCCCAAGCCCAGGTCCTGCCCACGTAGCCACAGTGCAGACAGGGCACCAGAGGGACCCACCAGTGCACCCTGACCAACGTACCCGTAGAGCAGAAAGAGGGAGAGGACGGCGGGGAAGTTGGTGGGAGAGGTGTATGCCGGGAGGTCGAACACGAACAGGATGATGATGCAGCATGTGGCCGGCACCAGGTAGTTCAGCTTGAGAAAACAGAAACTTCCATGACCATCCACTCACACGGCCCTGGGGGCTCACTCAGTGGGGCCATGCACCCTGCTCACCATGTCCCACACGTAGTTGGCCAACCAGTAGATGACAGGGTCGCAGCCGCTCACAAACTGCAGGTGTTTGGCCTTGGTGGCCTTTTCGGCCACCAGGAACACCACAAAGCTGGCTGGCACGAAGGACATGGCCACAATGATGAAGATGGCAATCACTACGTCCGTGCCTTGCAGGCTGAATGGGGAGCAAGGAGGAGAGCAGCTGCCCTCAGCTGCCTGGGGCAGGGTCACCTGTCCTGCCATGGGACAGTCATTGTGCATAGGGCAGGACACAGCCCAGGGACCTCCATGTCACCACCACCCACTCCCCCTGACACAGCCTGCAGGGCAGAAGCCTCAGCGCTCCCCTGAAAAATGCAGAGGGGAGCTCCCTGCCCCCCACAGGACGGGTACCCTCCCTCAAGCCCGCTCCCTGGACCTACAGGTAATCCAGGGACAGGCTGGCGCTCGTCTTGTTCATGGGGTGGTTGGTGACCGTGATGCCTGCAGGAAAGCCCAAGAAGGAACATAGAAGCATGAAACAGTCTCAGGACAGAAAATCTTGTTCCCAGCCTGCCTGGTCCTGGGTCTGAGCAAGAGGACGGTTTCCCTCTCTGCAGCCTGGCAGGAGCTGAGCTGCCTGAAGCAGCTGAGCACCTCAAGGCCGTGCCCTCCCACACCAGCTGGCAAAGAGCATCCTCGGACACACTGCAAGTCCAGGTGCCAGTTGGCAGCACCTCGGGAGCTTCTGCCCCAGCGCAGACTCTGCTTGTGTGACTCCCTTGCTTCAAATGGGCACTAGTCTGCTTGGTCCAAGGGGGAACACTGCACTTCAGAGCCTGGCTGGACCATGCCCTGTAGCTTCTGTCCTTAAAGGTCTCCAAGGTCCTCACCATAGGCAGCAGGGTTGCCTTTGCTCTTGGGCAAGTTGGCTCGCAGGATGGCATTGTTGAGAGCGTTGAGGTAGGTGGGCATGCTGTGATAGCCCTTGTTGTTGTAGAAGACCTGGAGAAGCAGAGAAGAGGGGTGAGAGGTGGCAAGAGAGCTGGGCCTGTGGCAGAGGTACTGGAAGGGTGGGATGGGATGGGACAGGACAGCTGCAGGGCAGGCTCGTGGCTGTGAGGAAAGCAGCCCGCTGCTGAGCATGCCAGGCAGGATCTGCAAAGCGAGTCCCCTCAACCCCTCGGTGGAGAGTGCTGTGACAGAGCCATGGGCAAGGGACCCTGCTGTGCAGGCACTGCTGCCTGCCCCCTTCTCCTCCCCACACAGGCCACGGCTGCCGCTGCCCACCCGTCCTCCAGTTCCTGCAGGGCGCAGCGTGGTCCCACCTGGGCCGCTCTCCGGACAGCGATCTTGCGCACCGTGGCAGGAGCCCTGGCCCCGAAGGAGGCCGGGATGGATTTCTGGACGTTGCCAAAGGTGAGTGCCCCGTACCTGTGGGACAAGGCATCGCCAAAAAGCTGTGACCACTGTCTCCCACCTCTGGGAGCAGGGTCCTCCTTGAGCATGACCCTGGCTCCCATCAGCACCCCAGGCAAGTGTCCCCAAGTCCCTGGTCCCCCACCCCTGCTCCATGGCACAGAGCAGACACTCCCAGTCTTCACTCTTGCCTGTGCAGCCGGAAGCGGTCTGAGGTGTAGAGCAGATACTCGGAGACGTTGCGCCCTGTGATGTCTGCCAGGATGTCCCCTGTCACCACCTTCATCTGTGGGGGGTGACCCCCTACACCGCTGGGGCAGGAGAAGCCAGTCCCCTGCATGGAGCACGTGCACTTGATGGGCTCATGGACAATGCGGGGCAGGGCAGGGGCCGAGGTCATGGTCTCTGAGGAGCAGAGAGGGCAGCTCACAGGAAGGGTCCTGCCTGCCCCAGCTGCCTGGGACAATGTGGGGGTGGTGGAGTGCTCAGCTGAGGGGTCCCAGCTGGGAAGGGAGGGAACACTCTGTTCCACTGGTGTCAGCTCCTGCTGTGCCAGAGCTGGTCTGTGAGAGGGCTTTTGTTTCCTGGTGACAGAGAGGGACCAAGAGATAGACATGGGGAAAAACTCTGGGGGACAGAAACAGTTCAGAGAGAGGGCATGGAGTGTCGCTGGAGAAGATAATGACTGGGGACCGAGCAGCCAGCCCAGCAAGGGTGACGCACGACTGGCCACAGGGCTCTCAATGGTGTCACTGTCCCAGGGAGCTCCGCTGGCACTGCTGGGGCAGAACAGGGAGTGGTGCTCCAGGGCCAGCACCAGCCTTGAGCCAGAAGTTCAGCCCAGCAATGCTCTGCTGTGGCCAGGCCAAACTGACAGGCACTTCCAGGGGTCCCTAGAGCTGCTCCTGAGGAAGGATAGATCATCTCCCTGCTGGAGATGAACCACTGGCCCAGAGTCAGGCACCAAGCACAAATGATACCTTTAACGGTGGCGGAGAAGGTTGTGGAGTTCCAGGCATGAGGCACGTCCTCATCCACAGAGACAGGGTAGTCAGAAGGGGCCGGGGATGGTGGCGGTGGCACAAAGTTGGAGAGTGGCAGGCCCTGAGTGAAGGAGTCAATGCACATGGCGTCGAAGTACTTGGCTGCCAGCATCTTGGATTCGTTGCTGTCAAGGTTGAGGGTCTGCATGGGCTGGTCCAGTGTGTTGTTGAAAGGCGTCTTGAGCACACAGGTGGCCCCCACGCCGGAGGGCAGGTGGAAGGTGTTCACCAGCTGCTGGGGGCTGGCGTCAGGAGACAGCCTGATGCTGCTGGGAGAGGAGCAGGTGAGGAACAAGCAGCAGGAGACATGGTTCTCATCACCTTGGCCATCTTCTGCTGGGACCTCCCCAAGACTCTGGCACCTAAGATGACTGAACAGGCACAGGCACTACGGCAGCACACACAGCCCAGGCCTGGTATGAGCCAAGCTGCCCATCACAGCCAGCATCAGGGCTGGCACATCTCCCAAAGACACCCTGAGGAGGATGAAGGCTGCCTTCTGCAAGGCGATGTGGCACCAGCCAGGCTCTACTCCAAGCCCGAGCCAGCCTCAGCACCTGCCCTGCTGCAGGCTGCCCTCCCTGCTGCCCCCAGCACAGCCCCAGGGATGGGGACGGGCCACGGGACGCTGGTCACCAGCAAGTAGCTCTCACCGGTACTCGTGCCGCTCCTCGTTGGCGTAAGGAATGAAGTTGCCTTTGGGCTGGGTGTAGTTGTGGTACTGCGATGGTGAGAGGATGAGGGGCGGCAGGTCACCTGCAAGGACAAGGACAACAACCCGCTGGCATCTGCAGCACCACCGCACGCAGGCAGACAAGCTGAGCACCCCCAAGTGTTGTGCTCACCACAGCCAGTGTCCCCAGCAGCCACACTGGGGTAGGCAGAAGGGGCCCCCAGCAGCCCCCAGCATGCAGGTACCTATTTCGGGCACAGAGAGTGCCACCGTCATGGCCACGCAGACGAAGAAGGCAGGCAGGAGGATCTGCGAGAAGAGGGCCTTGGTGTTGCGCTTGGCGCAGTGGAAGCGTTTGACAATAAGCCCGTGGAATTGGCGTAGCTTGAGCCACGAGCCCTCCAGCTTGAAGCTCCCCTGCCCAGCCAGGTCATGGTCCTCTGCCTCCACCTCCGCGTCTTGCTCTGGGAGGAGAGAAGGATGTCAGCCCCCTGGCATGGCCACTCCTGCGCCCACCTTGGTCCCCAGGGAGCTGAGCTGGGCACCAAACTGGGCACAGCCACCCCAAGGGACAGGGTGGCACCCAACCCTGATGGCCACTGAGTCACAGCAGCATCACAGCGTGAAGCAAAGCAGCTGGCTGGCAGGTTCCTCTTGGCCCAAAATGGGAAATTTAGACAACAGTTTTTAAAAAAACACCTAAATTGGCGCTTTTTGGCAGAACTCCTCCATTTTCCCATCAGCTCTCCCAGCTGGCAAGAGGTTAGTAGAGTCAGGAGCAGGGGACAGGATGTGGGGACACGACGAGGCAGTGGGCTGGGGCTCAGGAGCTCCGCCATGGCACTGTCTCGGCTCTCCCTCCCATAACCCAAATCACAATGCTCAGAGCAGCCCTGGCCAGAGAGGCTGAATTAATCATGGCAAGAGCTGCTGGGATAACCCAGAAAAGGATTTGTGAAAAAAACAGCAGCCTCAGGGCAGCTGCCTGCATCCTCTGTCCTCCAGCATAGCCAGCAGCCAGGCAGAGAGAGCCACTAGCCTGGGTCAGGGTACAGGAGGCAGTCACCAGCTGGAAGATGACTCCATGCCCCAGGGCCAAGAGGAGACAACCCAAACAGGCGCCGGTGTGAGGAGCGAGCACGTTAGTGGGGCAAGTCTGCAAGGTGGCACTCACGGGACCCCAGGGAGGTGAAGGGCAGAGCCAACGCCAGCTGCACCCGCACCCGCTGGCTCCGTGTCTCAGCACAGGACCCCTCCATGCACATGCTACCAAATTTGGGGGAGCAAACTGCTGGAAGCACCCGCTCCCAGCCCTCCCACCCAGGCTGCGGTTCTCTGGGTCCAGTGTTGGCATCATCAGCCCACCGGGAGGTCTCATCCCAGCAGGTATGGCCCTCCATCCCTGGCACACCTACACACCTTGGCCAGGGCCAGCTCTGCCCTGCCCAGGCACAGGGACAGGTGCTGGTGCTGCCACTGCCCCAGCCACCCTCCTGTGTCCCATCCAAGTGCCTGCCCCGGCCCCTGCCACCGGCCAGGCACCAGCAGCACGAACCTTGCAGACTGATGTTATCGGGGTCCTGCTGGTTATCAAACAGGGGCGCGTAATCCCCAAAGAATTCGGAATAAGCCCCACCTTCATCACCCCGCACAGAGCCCACTGAGGAGGCCGAGTGCAGGGATGCCTGTGACTGTGCCAGCTTGGAGCATGTCACCAGATTGCTGAGCTCCACCTCGGGCTTCTGCGGCACGGTCGCTTCGGCCAGAGGGTCCCCATTGGCCTCAGGCTTTGGGCCCAGCTCAGGGGCAGGTGGCCGCAGGGTGTCCTTCTTGGACTCCTTCATGTCTGGAAGGAGAAGGGGTGTTGCCACTGGCCATGCCACCCCTCACCACAGTGTGGCATGGAGTGGGGACGGATCTGCTCTGCAAACCCAGAGTGGACAGAGGCCATCTGCCCTTGGCTGGGGTGGGCTCTGCTGGAGACCACTTCCCCCCTTGGGAGACACCTGTGGCCATGCACAAGGTGAGAAGGGCCCCCAAAGCCCCCACAGAGGCACACGGCCCCTTGCCAGCCCCCGCACTGCCCATACCCGCATCGCTGTTCTCCAGAGATTGGTCCTCCTCAGACACCTTCAGGAAGACCTCCTCCAGTGTGGTGTCCATCAGCCCAAAACTGGTGAGGTCCAGCTCCTCCAGGCTCTGCTCCAAGTGCTGTGGGGGCAAAGTGCCATGTGAGGAGGGGAGGAGGTGACTGAAGTGCTGCAGCCCCGCACAGCTGCCTGCCTACCCACACTGCCAGCCCCCACGCATACCTGGAAGAGCCTCTCAAAGCAGCCCTTCTTGACAGCCTCACTGGGCAGGATGTAAGAGAGCTCAGTGTTGGTGTCTGAGATGAGGAGGCAGGAGGCCACGTATTTCTTGATGAACTGGGAGACGCGAGGCTCCGAGCAGGGGCTGACGGACGAGTGGGCCGGGGGGCTATGTGGCTGGCCTGGCTCTGTGGCAGAGTGGCGGCACTGGTCAGTCATCTGGCTCCCAGCCTCCCACCAGGACCCACCATGTCCACCCTACACCCCAGCGGTGCAGGGGCTCCTCTCCAGCCTCCATCATGGGGTGCTGGCAGCCTCCCAGCTGCCCTGCCTGGCCTGGTGTCCTCATTTCAGCTGGATAGGGTGAATTTCCTTCCTAGTAGCTGGTACAGCGCTGTGTTTTGGATTCAGTATGAGAGCAATGTCAATAACACACTGATGATTTAGTTGTTGCTAAGTATGCTTAAGGATTTTTCGGTTTCCCATGCTGTGTCAGTGAGCTGGTGTACAACAAGCTGTGAGGGAGCATGGCCGGGAGAGCTGACCTGAACTAGCCAAAGGGCTATTCCACACCACAGGACAGCTTAGTACAGAAACTGGGGGAGCTCACCAGGAGGAGCAGATCAGCCAGTGTGTGGTGAGCAACTGCACTGTGCATCACTTGTCTTCTCTGGGGTTTAATTTCTATCTCTTTTTGTTACATTCCTTTTTCATCATCATCATCATCATTATTATTACTATTATTTTGTTATTGTTGTTGCTATTACTATTATATTTTACTTATTAAACTGTTCTTATCTGCAACTCACAAGTAAAACCACTTTTTAATTTTTTTTTCGATTTTCCTACGCTGGGAAAGGGAAGGAGTGAGCGAACGAGTGGCTGCATGATGCCTAGCTGCCGGCTGGGGTTGAAGGACCACACCTGGGGACAGTGCTCTGCATCGCAGCCCACAGACTGCACAGAACCAGTGCCTGGAGACAAGTGCTACCACACAGGGTCTAACTTGGTATCGCTTGATTTCTCCTGTCTGGGTCCCACCTCCTACACCCCTTCCCCATCCCCCTCTGCCCTCCATGCTGCCTAAGGAGTTTGGGTTTGACCACTTGTTCCTTTTCTGGGTTGAAAGACTCATCCCACCTACTCCTCTAAACACACGGTCCCGCTGCCCCTCAGACCTGTGCCATTCCTGGTGTCGGACTGCTTCTTCACTACTGTCAGCTTGTAGCCATCACCATAGGTGCTCTTGAGGAAGAGCGGGGAGCCGCAGCACTTGAGCTTGCCATGGGAGATAATGGCAATGCGGTCACCCAGCAGGTCGGCCTCATCCATGTGATGTGTGGAGAGCAGGATGGTCCTCCCTGATGGTGGCACAGAGCCTCAGCAGAGGGGTCAGGGCTTCTGCAGCCAGGGGAGCAATGCTGGGCTCTGCCCACCTCTCTCACCTGGCTTGTACTTGAGGATGAGGTCCCAGATGGCCCTGCGTGCATACGGGTCCACACCAGCTGTGGGCTCATCCAAGATCACAGCTCGTGACCCACCCACGAAGGCAATGGCCACTGACAGCTTCCTCTTCATGCCCCCCGAGAGAGTCTGCACCAGGGAGTGGCGTTTGTTGGAGAGCTCCAGGTCCTCAATCATCCTGCGGACAGGGGAGAAGCACCAAGGATGCCAGGGGGGGCTGTACTGGCACCCAGTGCCTGTGGGGAGCACATGATGCCTCTTCCCCGCATAGTACCTACAGCCCTTGGCTGCTGGGACAGCCCAACTTCAGCCAGACTACAGAAGCATCTTCTGCTAGTTTCCACAGCCTGATAGCCCAAGTTTTGGAAAACCTGGTGGAGTTGCTCCAGGGGACATCTCTGCTACCAGATCACCCAGTGCAGCTCAGCCAGCAAGAAGGGGACCCACTCATGTAAAATGCACAGATGGGGCAAAAGGAGCTGGAGAATGCCTACTTGTCCATCTCCTTGCGGATCTCCTCCTCTGCCATGCTTTTGAGCTGCGAGTAGAACCAGAGGTGTTCCTCCACCGTTAGCCTATCGAAGAGCACGTTGTGCTGGGGACACATGCCCAGGTTCTTCCGGATCTTGTCCATCTCTGTGCGGATATCATGGCCATAGATGGTAGCGGAGCCCGAGGTTGGAGGGAACAAGCCGGTGAGGATGGACCTGGATGGACAGAGAAAGGCAACAGTGTGAGGGATCTTGTATTCCTCCATCTGGTCACAATCCCAACCACCACCTTCAAGAACAACTGCTGGGCCCTGGGCAGAGCAATGCCAGTGCAGTGCCATGCACCTGCTACCTGTCCCCCTTTTGTGCCACCTCCACATCCACACTGCTGCCCTCTGGACGTGGTGTCAGCCACACAGCCCTGCAAGGGCATCAGCCAGCACCTTCCCCACCCACTGCAGCTGGTGGAAAGGACATGGTCCATGTCTGCCCTGACAGACACTCACATGGTGGTGGTTTTCCCTGCACCGTTGTGCCCCAGGAAGGACACCACCTGGTTCTCGTAGAGGTTGAGGCTCAGCTTGTTCAGCGCCAGCTTCTTGTCTGTCTTGTAGACCTTGGTGAGCTTGTCAATGCAGACAACCAAGGGAAGGTGGGTTGGCTCCTCCTCGATGCCCCGTGTCTCCTCTGCTGTGAGAGCAGGGTGGTGAGGAGCCACGGGGTGGCAGGGAGGCCAGGCTTGGAGGGAGGCTCCCCAGGGAAAGCACCTCCTTGTCTCTATCCCACAGTGGCTGTGCTGGCTCATGGCCCCTTCCCTTGTGCTTCTCGCCAGTTTCCTCCCTCCCGCACCATAGGCAGCATCTGCCAGACAGGCAGCAAAGCCTGGCCCAGCATCTTGCCCTGACAAGGGCACAGGGGACATACGGGGGTCCATGCAGGACCCTGCAGCAGAGCCAGGGCCATCCCTGGGCCATCTCCCACCGCCCCTCTCTGCCCTCACCCAGCCTCCGGCTCTCCATGGCACAGGCCTGATCCTCCTCCATGATGCTGAGGCGAGTGGTGCGAGACCAGGGCCAGGTCCACTCCCAGGTTTCCACTCGCCCATTGCCCAGCCAGTAGGACTTCTGGAAAGGGAAGTACCAGGGCCGCGGCAAGCCGAACATGCCTGCAAGCACAAGCCCGACGGATTCATGGCCAGCCCTGCACCATGGCTGCAGAGGATGGCCAAGTGCCGGGGCAGAGCTCAGCATAGGCACAGCCATGAACATGGGCTTGGAAGTCTCCCCAGCTCAGGGACATCACTGCAGGGGGTGCTGCAAGCACCTGGGCTAGCTGGGCTCATGGCAACGCTGCTGGGCTGTGCAAGGAAGCAAAGTCCTTTGAGCTCTGGGTTGGGGCTGGCTCATGCTTCAGTTTTATGAAGAAAGCAAAGGAAGCAGGTGAGACCCCTCCCAAAGCAGGAGATAAAGGGGAACAGTGCCCCAGGCATGGACACCTTGCTTTGCCACAGTGGCCAGTGAACTGAGACACATGACTGAAGATCTGCAAGGAACCTGCTGGTGTCACCACTGGGGCAGGGCATGTGGGCAGGTGTTCCCACCAAGACACACGACGGGGACCCTGAAGGCACTCTGCTGAATCCCACCACCGCCAGGAATCAGCAGGCCTCCAGTGAGGAGGCTCCCATAAGATGAGAGATGCCCTCACCCCCCAAACATACCCGGGTGCACAGCCTCAATGTACCACGTGAGCACCCCGTACACCACGGCATCCACAATCAGCATCATCATGGACAGCAGGAGGTTGAAGTCATCCCCTTCTACAGGCGACTGGCTGAAGGTGTGCCACTGGATGCCCACGCCAGCTACCTCATACAGTGCAAAGTACTTGGAACCCAGCCCAAAGGCCGTGGTGGACATGAGAGACTGTGAAGAGGTGGAGGGAAGAGAAGGGGACATCAGGAGGAACCACAGGCCTGCTCTGGAGAAACACGCTGGGGCAAATTCCCACCTGGTGCTGCCCCACCCAGCCCTGTGGAGATGATCCCTGTCCTGGGAGACACCAACCTTCTGGAGATGCCTCCAAAGCCCCATGACGAGTTGGTTCATACAGGCAGAGGTTTGCCTAGGGCTTTGTGACAGCTTGGTGGCCTGTGTACTGGACATGGGGTGCCTGGGGCAAACCTTGGACACATCCAACTCACCGCAATGCACTTTTCAAAGGCCGTGATCTTGTCATGCGCCACCTCCTCCCGGATGGCCACGTACATGTAGGGCACGTAACTGAGGAAATAGATGATGCCACCGCAGGCAGAAGCCAGCTTGGCCTTGGAGTAGAGCACCGATACCAGGAAGCTGCAGGGAGGAGTGTCACCTCAGATCCTACCCACCAGGGTTCTCCCCACACTGTCTGCTTTTGGTGGTGTTGAGGTGGTAAACTGGCCCCTCAAACCACCTGTGCCCCTTCACTGGCCCTTGCCCACACAGCTCCCAGCACCCTCACCCCACAGCACAAGGACCTTGCTGCCACCATGTCCCCTCAGCCCACAGAGTGGAGCAGGCAGCTCACCAGAACATGATGGTGGCCACTGCGTAGATGGCGAGAAAGAGCCAGATGATGAGGACATCGCTGTGCATCAGGACCTTGCCATACTTCAGGATGGCAGTGAGCGCCGTGACTGAGATGGAGAGCTGGACAAAGCCAGTGATGAACCAAGCCACCCAATGCACCGCATTGTTCAAGCCCATCATCTTCATCACCTATGAGGACAACACTGCTCAGCAGGACTGTCCCCTGCCTGCACATCCCCACTGCCTCACTCACCAGGGCTGGATGAGCAACCAGCAGCACCAGGCTGCTGGGAGTGGGCAGGTCACAGCACCCTGTGCCAGGGTGCCAGCAGGCTCAGCTCCCTCTGGCGATGGGGAGGGCTTGGGCTGGGAACAGTCTGAAGGACCAGCTTAGCCCAGGGATGTGGGATCTGCACCCACCCCAACTCCTGCACCCTGAAGACATGGGGAAGGTGCCCATGGATGCACTGTAGGACTCAGAGCTCTGAGATGCCAGCTCCTCTGCAGGGATCTCTCCCACCATCCCCACCTCTTTCAGGCGATGCTCCTTCTCCGTCACAATGTGCTGGATCATCATGGCCACTGAGTAGACCCAGGATATCACCATGCACAGGGGCATCATGTGCTCAATGACAAAGAGGAAGCTGGTGTGAAGAGAAAGAGAGGGGAGAGCTGAATGGCTGCACCACCGCAGAGATCCGGGGAGACCCTGGGCCACAGGGCAGCACAGGGGACAACCAGCCCTCTGGTCCAGGAGCTCCTTAGTGCCCTAAAAGAGCTTCTTCAATAAGCCCATAGGACAACCTGGTGTCCTGGCTGCCAGGTCCTGGGCAGCAGCTGTGGGCTCAGCCCAGTGTCCTGACTACCCTGGTGTGGATGTGGCCCTATCCACCCCCCTGCCCTGGAGGGCTAGTGGCTCTGGGACTTCTCCAGGTGCTTCCTCCAGACCACCATTTTCAATAACCACCAACAAACCCATGTGCTGTTCATTTACCACACTCCTTGTTCTCCCCAAATCTTTCAGCCTCCAAGACACCTGTCCTGGTTCAGCCAGGATAGAGTAAAGTTTTCCCCAGCAGAGAGAGAGGGGGAAGGGATCTCCAGCCGGGTTATTCATACCGTGCTGACGTCAGGTCTGGGGGCGGAGCCTTTTCCTGGCTCTTTGGTGGATTTGGGAGGGAACTTTGCTTTCCGTAAACCAGCTAGCGGTATTTCTCTGTATATCGTTTGTCTTGTTCACTGTTATTGTTGTTTATTGTTGTTACCATTGATACTGTTGTTATTCAAATTGTTCTATCACTCTGTTGTATTAAATTTCTTGTTATTTTAGCCGGGGTCTGTGTCTAACTTCCAGCCCGACCAGCGCGGGTGGGGGAGGGGCAACAGCAACGTGCTCTCTCATCCCGGCAAGGATTAAATCGTGCACAACACCCCTCAGCTATGAGTTCGTCACTTCAGCTGCGAACTGTACACAAAATTCTTCCCCTGCTTGCCTAGCCTGGTGGTCCAAGGAACAGACCTTAACTGGTTGCTCACCACTCCCAATGTTACTGACCTCTCTCAGGCCCCCAAACGTCCCCTTTTCCCAGTTGAAGTGTCCTGCCCCTGCCCACCCTGCCCGCGCAGGTGTTACTCACTCGTCCCGGGTATAACACGGGTATGGGAACATCTGCACATAGTTGCCAGGTTCCACCACATCATGGCCAACAAATGTGTTGATGAGGGCGCGCTCCATCATGTCTGGGGAGGACAGGCCAGGCTGAGTGGGCAGTGCGGGCAGGGGCCAGGGATGTGGGCAGCTGTGGCAGGGAGCTGGCACTCACCTTGGATCCAGACAAAGCCGTAGAGGAAGTAGAAGCGGCCGCCGGTGTTGGGGCCAGGCCGCCAGTACGCCCGCCGGATCTCGTTGGTCTTCTCTGTGAAGCTGGAGTTCTGCCGGATCTTGTACATGACATGCGGGGGCAGGGAGCCATCCCTGTTGGTCTGGAAGATGACGCCTGTGGGCAGCAGGAGAGGCATGGAGCCCGCTGGCACCATGGGAGACGGCTACACCAGCCGTCCCACAGCAACGGGCAGGGAGGTTCAGCGTGTCCCAACCAATGGCACCACGAGGACTGTCACAGATGGGGAAGGTGGGCACAGCCCTGGCATGGTAGCAAAGGGCACATGGGCCACAGGCAGAGATGGTGCCAGAGCCAGGACAGGAGCAGGGCACTGCACCCAGCAGGGCTCGGCCAAGGGCAGAGGACAGGTACCACAAGTTCCTTGGTCTGCTCCTCCACCACCCGGGGAGCCATGTCCCAAAGGCAGTGGCCCCAGCCCAGGGCACAGCTAGAGAAGGACATGGCTTCAGGGAACACTGCGAAGGGTCTGCTTCCTGGGGACATACTGGCAAAGACTGTGACGTTGTCCTGGTAGGCCTGGTTCAGTGTGTAATTGACGATGCTCTCCTCATCTGGGAAGCCTTTGAAGATGTCCACGCTGACCTGGTGGGAGGGGAGGGCTGATGAGTCCCCACTGGCCCTGACAGGCCTGGCAAGCAGACCCTGCACATGGTGCAGCATGTGCCACCCACAGCCACCCCACAAGCTCCCAAACCCAAGAGTGGATGGGCATCTCCACTGTTGACATCTACCCCAAAGCTCCTGACACTGCAGAAGCCACTATCTCCTCCATGGCTCCCATCCCATGGCCTTAAGGAGGTCTGAGCACAGGTGACTCCTCCTCCACTCTTCAGAGAGCCTGGCTGCAGGCAATGGGTGCCACTCCAGCACCCGTGTTCCCACAGCAGGCACAACCTCACCTTGGCCATGAAGTGGATCCAGCCGCAGGCAGCATTGTCGATGGCGTCCAGCTGCTGGAGAAGGACGCTGGCGTTGGGCATGGAGAAGTTGCCATTGAGAAAGTTGTGGAGAACATCACTGTCAGAGATATTCAGGATCTCTGGGTGCTTGTGGAGGTCAGCAGTGAACTGGGACAGGGAGAGAGACACGGGAGGGAGAAGTTGGGGTGTGCCCTACCTCTCAGCCTCCTGTCCTCCCCATGGACACAGATAGAACCCAGTGCTCCTCCTGGACATAAGGGACAGCATCCACCCTGCACAGGGAGCCAGCCCAGTCCTTGCAAGAGCAGGAGCACCTGAGAGCTTCCCATGAAGAGGCTATGAGGTGTCTGGGGGCAGGACATCCCCCTTCCCATCCCCAGATCAGTAAAACCCAGACAGGCTCAGTCCCCACCACACTATCCTACCTGCTGGAGCCAGCGGATGCGCCTCTGCAGCCTGCCCTCCTCCAGGTAGGCACGGATCTCAGGGGAGATGTTCAGCCACGCCTTGGCGTAATGGGTGACGTTGCCCACAAAGGCAAAGGTCTCATTGGCCTAGGAGGGAGGAAGGTCACACAGTGGGAAGAGGCAGTGGCCCCCCTGCTCTCTGGGATGGCCAGCAGCCATGGCGGTGCCCACCTCCCAGCAGGCATCACTACAACAACAAGGGCCAGGGCAGCTGTCTGCTTCTGGCAGTGCTGGCTGACAGCTGGCTCCTTGGGCTGGCAGCCCTGGCCCCGCTGAGCCTGTCTAGGCAGAGTGGAGCTGGTGGGAGAAGAATGGGAGTCCCAGCCTCTGCACCCTCACCTTTAGGATGACCTTATCCACTTCAGTGCCCACGGGCGCATACAAGATTTTGGGGTTGCTGGTCATCAAATGCACGAGGAGGCCCAGGTTTCGCTGCTCCTTGCTGGTGAAGCCCAGCGAGCTCATGTTGCCCTGCTTCAGCGCCTCAGGCTCAATTGTCCTGCAAAGGGGGCTCAGGCTGCTAACTTCGCTCCAACCCCAGTACCCCTCACTGGAGGCAGCCCCCACCCCTACCTGGGAGGGGATTTTACACCGACCACTGGGCCAGCACGGTGTTGCCCAGCTCGGGGAGCTTCCCCTGTCCACAGCACAAGGATGTAGTGCAGCATCCCTCTCCCACACGATGACCAGGGGCCCTGACCACTGGCAGGGGCAAAGTGGGCTCTCCCACACCCATGTCCCGACCAGAAAGCACCTGGATCCAGCCCTCTCCAACCCTGGGGCTCCTACCGGTTGTTGCCACAGAGGATGGGCTGCAGCCCAGCCCACAGCTGCACAAACGCCGAGAACTGTCCCTGGGGGTTGTCGCCACTGGCCAACCCTCCCCCAGCACCCTCCTCCTCTGCTGTGGCGTTGCCAGCCGTGGTGTTGGTGCCAGCCCAGCCAGTGCTGTTAGCAGTGGGTGGCGGGGCCTTGCTGGCACAGGCTCCCCTTGGCAGCAGCTTGGCCAGTGCCGAGAGGATGTCCACGTCCCGGAGAACCTTCTCCATCTCCACCAGGTCCTCCAGGAGGGCACGGAGGCGGTGCTGGGTGGCCGTGCTGTTCACCTCATCCAGCTTCAGCTGCAAGGATGAGCAGGCAAGGGGTCACCCGTGGCTGGGGTGATAGGGCCCTGCTCACTAGCGGGAGAGGACCAAGGGGGACCCCAAGCAGCGGCATGTCCACTGCCTTGGTTAAAAGGCTGGAGCTGTGCCCAATTGGGGCCCCAGACTCACTGCCATGCATCTGTGGCTATCAGGCAGTGGGAGTGCAGGCAAAATCTGGCAGGGTATTGTTGGGGAACACACGATGTCCCTCAGGTAGGAAGGATGGTCCTCTGTGACCACAAGGGACGTGTCAGACTCAGGTGGGACAAAGAGGGGGACCTCAGAGCCAGCCGTAAGGAACTGTGCCACCAAGGACACTGCCAATGCTGGGGACAGCAGCCTGCAGGGACACGCCTAGAGGATGCTGGGGACACCCAGCCCCATCCAACGGGCAGTGTCCAAGTGGGTGCCAGGAAGAGGAATCATCTGGGGTTCCAACATGGGACTGGGCGTGGGGTGCCCATGTAGGGTAAAGGGGTGATCAAGAGCGGCTGGACCACGTAACAGAGGCCCCCATCCCCACACATCCCCCGGTGAGTAGGGAAACCCTGCCCAGGACTTGTCCCTGCCCCACAGCCCACCCACAGCTGGTAGGAGGCACATCCCTCAGCCCCGCTCTCACCCTGCTGATGATCTTGGGGGTGTCCAGCTGGTCCCGGAGCTCAGCAGCCAGCTGGGTGAAGCGTTCCCGGCGGGCGGCCCGGCTGCCATTGCAGGCCAGTGCTCGGTACGCCTGCAGCAGTGGCTGCTGCCTGGGGGCCACGTGCAGGAGGTGGCGCAGCCCCCCCGGGCTCTGCTCACAAGTCAGCTGCTCCAGCACCGGCCCGGTGAAGAGGACACCCTACAGGGCAGGGAGCCATGGGGGTGCAGCCCCGGTTGCAGGGCCACCACCATGGTGCTCACCCTGGCAAAGCAGCTGCCCACATGCCCTGGTTCACCCCGCGAGGCACTCACCTCCATCTCAGTGACAAAGGCCTGGGGGTTGTCAGAGGTGGTGGGTGCCAGGGTGGTGCTGGCGAGGCCCAGGGCCTGGGAGAGCAGGCGGAGCAGCACTGGCCGGTGCGGGGCTGCCGCAGGGTCCTGCAGCACCCTGTGGACCAGCCCTTCCTGCAGGCTTCTCCAGCCACTGGGGAGGCTCTTCTGCAAGAGGACCAACCAGGGTGGCTGGTGGTGTGAGGACTCCCCGGGGTCCCCCTCCATGTGTGTCCCCAAGCACATGTGAACGGCCCCAGAGCACTCACATCCACGGTCTCCATGAGGACGGGAAGAAAAGGGGATGTGCAGGTGGGAGGGAGCACTGTCCCTGGGGGAGCACGGGTCCCCTGCACCCCAAACACAGGGGGGAACAATCTCCCCACCTCCCTCCACAGCCACCATCCAGGAGGTGCCATCACCCACTGCAGTGGGAAACAGAGGCACAGGCACTGCTGTGCCTCAAAGCACTGGGGGAACTGGTGGCAGCACGGGGACAGGACTCAGCCACTCCTGCTGCTGCTCTGGCCAACTGAGAGCATCCCGTCACACCCCCTCTGCCAGGATGGGCACCCCCTGATCGCCCTGTGGTGGAAAATGAAGGGGATGCAAAGGACAAGCTCTGCCCCATGTACCCTGTATGCGGCACCACTCCTCACCTCCAGCTGTGTCATTTTCTCACCAGGGCCAAACCCGTCCCACAGGTCTTGCTCATGGGCCTCATCAGGTACCAAAGGAAAGGAACCGAAAAACAGGCGGTACACCTGCACCAGAGATGGGATCCAGGCTGCTGTTTGCCCAGCAATGCCCCAGCACAGGGTGGCACGTGTGGTAGGGCAGGGTAAGTCCTGTCCAGGTTGCCCACTGACTCCCACCCTGTGGGTCTGGTGGTCAAGGCTCTTGGGGTTGGGACACGCCCTGCAAAGCCTGGCCCTGCAGCACTGTGCGGTCGCCCACCTCCTGCAGGCTGTCACCCACCTCTCGTGGGTCACCACCCACCTCCCGCAGGTCAATGCTGGAGCCCAGGAGCAGCTCGGTTGTGCTGTTGGGGAGGGACAGGTTCTGCATCAGGAAGCGGTGCAGCTCGTCTCGGTCCTTGGCCGCCCATGCCAGTGTAAAGCCAGATCCTGGCAAGCAGCAAGGCAGAGGGGTCAGAGTATCCCACCAGCACTGGGGATGTGGCACAGTCCCACACGGGGACATATGACAGCTGGCAGACAGCACACCACCACATCACTGGGTGCCCAGCGGGGGGGATCTCCACGCTGGCAGCGGTGGGGCAGGCAAGGCGTGAGGCAGGCAGGATGCAGCCTACCTGCTCGGTCACTGAAGTGGGTCTCCATGGAGCTGGGCGCATTGCGGCTGAGTGCCTCCAGGCGCTGGCGCAGAGACTCCAGCTCCTCCTCCAGCCCTGGGTGCTGCGGGTCGAAGAGGTTGCTCTGCTCCACTGCTTCACTGAGGTGCTCTAGGAGCTGTGTCACCCTGTGAGAGCCCAGCACCGCCGCAACTTCAGGGACAGGGACACCTTCCACAGAACTCAGGGGAGGGATGGGCCCCGTGGGTGCACAGGGAAGCAGTGCTGCCTGCCACGGGGCACCACTGCCCCAGGAGCTGCCCTCGCCTGCACACTGAATCCACCATGCCAGGGGTGCAGAGGGGAGCCTCAGAGCCTTGAGGTATCTCCTTGAGGTGTCCCCAGGGGTCACCTTCATCCTCCTCCCAGCACCAGGCACCTGGGAGCTCACAGGGGAATGGGCTGAGATGTCCTCTGCACCATGGGGACACAGAGCTCTGCAACGGAGCGGAGCTTGTGCCTTGTCCCCAGCCAGGTGGTACCAGTGTGGGAAGGGGCAGGGCAGGCTGTGCCCAGGGGCAGGCAGGAGCAGGCAGGGTGGGAGAAGGAAGCACACGGTGAGGGCAGGACTCACGTGGAGTTGGAGTACTGCAGGAAGCCGAACTCATCACGCTGGCCATCGGGGCACAGGGACTGCATGACGGGCAGGATCCCGGCTGAGGTGAGTGGGGCTGCCGTGTAGAAAGCTGGAGCCAGTGGGAGAGTGCAGAAGAGGCCGAGGAAGGTGTGGGCAGGGAGGGAAGAGAGGTGGGGGGAGGCAGGGGGCCACCGGAGAGACAGACACTCAGTTCAGAGAAGCGCACGCTGGGCCCTGTGAGCCCTGCAGGAGGTTGGCGGCCAAGGTCAGAAGTCTGCAGCTTTCCCACCAAGGCTGTTCCCGGCTGGTGGCTCACTGGGGCTGTGGGCAGCTCCTGCCACCCTGGCTCCTGCTCTCTTGCCCCTGGTAGATGGGTCCCTCCCACCCCAGGACAATGCAGACTCCTGCTGCTTCCCCCAGGACGGCCGCCAACCTCCCTGGCCTCTTGACCCCTCTTGTTAGTAACCTCAGAGGCCCCGCTGGATCTCCAGAGGAAGAGAAGAAGGAGGAAGAATACGACAGGGAAAATAGTCACCCACATCTCCCTGAACCCCTGGCCTCCTCCCTGCCTGGCTGCCCCGACGTCTGGCTGCTGGAGGTGGGTGGAAATGGGAGACATGGTGAGGGGGAAGATGGAAGAAATGAAGAGCAGCAAGGGGACAGCAAATCTTCCCCCCCCCTCCGCCAGCACTGAGTCATTGTCCCTGCCCGGGTCTTTCCACATCCTTCCCTGGGGCAGGGCAAGCCCAGAAGGGCCCTGCCCAAAGGAGACCAGAGGTTGTCACTGGGCAGTGCCAGGCAGGGAGCCTGCTCTTGCCACCTTGGCTGGTGGCCCCATGGTTAAAGGCAGGTCAGTGCTGATAGCACAGCTGCAATGGGCACAGGCTGGTGAAGATGGGCTTCTGGCAGGGACATGGGACAGGTGTAGCATGGGATAGGCTAGCAGCCTGCTGGGGTGATGAGACAGATAGTGGTGGCCACATCACACTACGGTGACAAAACCAGCACATGCGTGGCATCTTCCTGGCTTTCAGGATCCTAGTAGTGCCACATCCTGGCTCATCCCAGCTGCAAGGGACCAAGACAGGGATCCAGTGGTGGTGCAGGGGTGGGAGCCATCTTCAGGCCCTTGGGGACCAGTGTGAGAGAGGCACAGGCAAGACTGGGTAACCACAGGCCATCACATGGGTGCCAGCACCCAGCAGGGTCTGCCCAGCAGGGTGGCAAGAACCACAGAATCATTTAGGTTGGAAAAGACCTTTAAGATCATCAAGTCCAACTGTTAAGAAGGGGTAAGACAAGCCTCCACTTGGTTTGGAAAGCCCTGCGCAGCCCAGGGACATCGCCAGCAGCAGAGCCACCACCTGGGGAACCTAGCACCGCCAACCTGATGGGGACACCACCATGGACTGGTCCTGGCTAGGCAGCTCCTGGAAAGGAGCAGGCAGGGGCCACATTCTGCTGCCCAAGCTCATCTTCACCAGTCACAGAGGAAGGCAATGGGGTTACAGAAGTGTGGATTAGTCCAGAGTGAGTTGATCCAAACTGGGCTCTTTCTCCCCAAAATACATGGCTGGCACAGGCAGGGGAAGGGGGGGGAGGCACCCACCCACCCCACCAACTTACAGACTGGCGCATGCAGTAGAGGCATGGAGGACAGGCAGGCAGGGGAGATGGTGGGAAAGAAAAAGAAAACGTGAGCAAAAAGAAAGAAAAAACAAACCAAAAAAACCACACAACACAGAGCGCACATCAGCGCTGGGGCAGGAACCAGGGCAGTGACCGTCACCGCCTGCAGCCGGACCCGCACTTGCAGCTGGGCTCTCCCTCGCTGGCACGTGCTGAAACACAGGCTTGGACCATTGTTACAGCGTCACCACCACTGCTGGCTCCCAGCATGGCCCCCCGGCCCCACCTGTACAAGGGCACCCCCTGGAGTGGGTGTCCCACAGGGCATCTCGGTGCCATGTGGAGTCCTGTTGAGTCGGTGGCTCTGCTCCACTGCCGCCTCCCAGCAGCACAGCCCGTGGGCCCCAGCAACCACAGCCCCAGCTCTGGCTGAACATCTCCATAAGCCTCCAGCTCCGGTCCCATTACTCTGACACCTTGTGAGGGCCCCAGAGCTCCCCCCATAGCCAGGCATGGGGCTCCACGCCATGCATTTCCCCACCAGCACCGTGAGGGAGCCCTTCTCAGCACTGCCCCGGCTGCTTCTCAAGCACTTGGGGGACCATGGCTGCCTGAGCACCATCCAGCTCCATCTCCCCTTTCTGCCAACAAAACACCCCTGCCGATGGCAGCCACAGGCTGCTTGGTGCTGAAGCCCTCGGCTGTGACTGACCCTGGCTCTCTGACCCCGCTGTGTCTGCCCCACCAGCCCTCTCCTGCAACCCCTGCACAGCGATATGCCCCCCAAAAGGCCCCTCTGGGTCCCCACCAGCTGTCACATCCCCACCCTCAGGCTTTCCCTGGGGTGCTGGAGCAGCTCTCCAGAGCCTTGGGGTGTCCCCAAGTGCAGGTGCCCTGGACACCACCCTTCTGGTACTCACCTTCCTTCACAGGGATTGTTGGCTTCTTCTGCCGCAGCCCCAGAAGGATGAAGAAGAGCACCAGAGGGATGAAGATCTCAAAGGCCAGCACCCACTGGGAATGACACAAAGCAGAGGGATCGTGACACCTGGGGACAGGATCTGTCTACCAAGGAGGAGTGTTGGGCAGGACAAGGGTCTCTGGGGAACCATTGCAGTGCAGCACCGTGCCCACATCTTGCAGGTGGCTGGTGGCACTGTCACAGCTCAGCCAGAAGCAAACAGGTCCCCCGGCTCCTGGGGATCTCCTGCTTGCCCCTGCCTGCTCCATCCTGCTCAGGGGCCCCTCGGGACAGGAGAGGGTAGCACAAAGGGGATGGATCCCTACTCTAGCAAGGCAAACAGGGTGCTAGGGCTTAAGTCCAGCCCTGATGGGCCACTACAGCTGGGGCTGCCCAGGGGAAGATGACTCCAAGCCCCTGTGGCGGGCAAAGAGTCACAGGCTCTCATCTTGGCAGTGCCCTCACAGCCAGTAGTTGCCCAGCATGACACACCCCTGCCACCGGTACCACTGCTGGGTCCCACCTGCACGTCGATGCAGGGGACAGGCCCCCACACTGTCAGGGTGAGGTTCGGTTTGGCCAGGCCCTGGCACCAGCTCTGGGTTCAACTGGAGGGCAGCATCAGGGGTCCTGGCACCCCCTTGTACCTTCCCAGAAGGCTACAGCTGTGTGGGATTTCCACCAGCGGCATATGGTAAATCACAGCAAATCCCCAGGAATCCCCAAGCCCAATCTTGCAGGCGGCCCAGGCTGGGCTCTGTGCCCAAAGGCCCTGGGGATGGGCAGCAGCGCCTCCAGCCACCATCAGGAACAAGCAGGCAGCACGCCCAGCACGCTGCCAGCACAGGCACTGCCTGTTCACACCGTGTGTGCCCAGGCCACGCCACAGCCCCACTGCCCCTGCTGATGAGTGCAGGGGAACTACTGTAGGTTGGAAAACTGAGGCACAAGGTGACATGAGCCAACTTCAGCTCTCTTCAGGGCCAGATCAGACCCTGAGACATCCTGCCACCACAGGCAGGGAAAGCCCCAGCTCTGCTGCTGGGACAGTGCCCACTACAGCACTGGCACCAGCCCAGTCACCTGCAGAGACCAGGTGCCATAGAGGCTCCCCAGCAGGATGGGAAGAGAGGGCTTTAAAATGACAGGGGCTGCCTGGAGGGACACAGCTGGCAGCAGCTGACAGGGTCAGGTCTCACCCACAGGCTGCAAGCCGTGTACCCCAGTGACAGAGCAGGCTGTCCCCCACCACCGGCTCCCGGGGTGACACAGTGATGGGCAGACATGGCAGCAGAGCAGGGCTCACCAGCCCGCACCTCTGGGATGGATTTTGTCCCCTTGGACCCCAGGTCTGTCCCCACAGGGGCTTCCCAGGCATGGGGGGTTGAGGGGCAGGACACAACAACACAGAGATTGCAGGGGCCAGTGGACACCCCAGGAGTGGCATGGTCAGGGCTGGGGGGATCCCCATCTTTCTGGCATCACTGGTCCCAAGCACAGTTCCTGGTGTCACCATCCCTGTATTGGGAGGCTGGCAAGGGACACCCCAACACACACTGCCCACCCCCGTGGCTCTTGCCCTGCCGCTCACTGCTTGCACCACCCCCCCACTGCCTGTTTATCAGACACACAATCGGGCCTCTGTGCCCAGATGCCTGTGGGACCGTCCCCCACACCCACGCCAGGCTGTACCAGGCTCTCTTGGGGACTGCCGGGTCCTTGGAGGGACCTGATTGCTGTTATTTATTTTTTTTAAAGTGGGTCATTGACCTTTACTCATCTCTTTCCCCAGAGATTTCCCCTGTCCCTGACCCCCTCCTGTACAGCCGTGTACCCCAGTGACAGAGCAGGCTGTCCCCCACCACCGGCTCCCGGGGTGACACAGTGATGGGCAGACATGGCAGCAGAGCAGGGCTCACCAGCCCGCACCTCTGGGATGGATTTTGTCCCCTTGGACCCCAGGTCTGTCCCCACAGGGGCTTCCCAGGCATGGGGGGTTGAGGGGCAGGACCACCCCACACCCATAGTGGAGCAGAGGCATGAGCATGCAGCAGGGATGGGAAGGGGAAAAGGATGCTGTCCCAAGGGAGCCTCAGCCCCCTCTGGGGGGACACCCAACACTGGCACAGCGCAGGGATGGTGGGTTTCCTGCCTGCAGGTGCAGGACACTGGGAGACATTTTGTGATTGTGTGAGGAAGCAAAGCAGGGAAAGGCCAGGATTCAGGCAGCTAGGAAGGAAATGATGGGAGGAGAGGGACAAGGAGAGAAGGGCCAGTGCCTGTCAGTAGCTGGCCATGCCCTGCACTCACCAGGGGGAACCTGTCCTGTCCTCTCACCCATTCCCTTCCTCACTCCTCCCTTGGTGAGGGCTCTCACATGTCTGTCTGCGGAGGCTGGGTGTGCAGCACCTGGAGTGTGACACGGGTCCCATGGGCCCTTGCGCCCAGGTGACAGGGGCTGGGGGAACTGGGGGCAGCTCCTGGGAAGTGGCAGAGCTCAGCTGCCAGAGGGATCCACCCCGCACACACATATGTGTACAATCCCAGGTACGAGTTCACCTTGACCTGCCAGAGAGGTGAGCAGGATGAGGCCATGGGTGCTGTTTGGGTTTGCATGAGTGCTGAGTGCATCTGCCTGCCACTGCCATGGATGTGGGGTACACATGTGCCCACTCAGAACCCATGTTCAGCCCTGCCACATCTGTGAACATGGGGACAGCCCGATCCTGCCCGACTCCCCTAGAGCAAGGGAGGCAGAAGCGGCAGGGTGCTGGCCCCTGGCAGAGGGACGCTCAGCTCCCCAGAGCACTGGGCCAGCACCTCTATGCCTGCTCCCACCCTCTGCCACGGTGGCAGATGGGAGTGGGGGGGCCGTGAAGAGGACGAGCTGGATGAGGGCTACACAGCCTGAGCACAAGGCAGCAGCCCTGGCTGGGGACACATAGGTCCCACACTGTCCGTCCAGAAGCACTGACAAGCACCATGGGACGCAGCGAGAGCAAAGAGCCTGGCCTGGCACAGCGCTCCCACCGGGCCCACCCTCCAGCCAGCACCAGGGCCAGCCAGGAGACATGCTGAAGCCAGGTTAGCACAGCAGCCAGGCTAGCACAGCAGCTGGGTCAGGGACACTGGCAGGACAACTCCGCCGCCGCTGTCGCCAGAACATGGCAGTGTGCATGCCCTGACAACCAGGCTGGGTGCTCCCCGCTGGGGCAGGCAGAGGCAGCTCTCTACATCCATTGCCACCACTCAGAAGTCCACCCCATCCCTCCTGCCTGCTCCCAGATAGGCCCTGAAGCCCACAGCCACCACCTTCGGCCAGCACAGAGATAGGGACAAGCAGGGGCTGGGAGCCCCCGCCCACAGACCCTCAAGCTGGCAACCCCAGTGATGCCCCTGCAGCCCAAGCGCCTCTCTCCCCACGGGCTGGCACCTGTGAGAGGATTTACCAGCCCTGAGGCAGGTGAAGCAGCACCGAGCACAGCCCAGGGCAAGTCCGGCCTCCAAACCCACCTGTCCTGCACCCACCAGCAGACAGGGCAGGGTATGCCTGAGCTCCTCCCTGGGGAGGAAGGAAAGCTGTTGCCTGCTCCCTGCCAGCCTCTCCTGCAGGTACCTGCCCACAGAGCCAGCAGCACCAGGTGCCAGCCTGCAGAAACCCCAGGGGACAGGGCTCAGCTCCTGGAGAATCAACACCCCAACTATTCCAACAGCATTTTAAGGCTGGAAGAAATATCTCAAACTTTTTGAGGGCTCCAGACTTTAATCATTGTTAAATACCCACTTACTTGCCCACAGCTGGGAAGCGCAGGCACGTGAAGCCATGGTCACTGGGAAGGATGAGTGCCAGAGCTGGTGGGTGAGCAAGGCCCCGCAGCCGGGCAGACACGAGGCCAAGCTGAGCCCTCACTCCAGGCCTGTCCTGCCCCCTTCACCCCAGCAGGGACCCAACCACTGACACCTACTGATGGTCATCACCCAGCTGGGCACCTGCCAGGGTTCTCCAAGGTCACCTGCCCATGCCTCAGCCATGGGGACAGCCAAAGCTGGGCCCAGGGGCTGCTGACTCCCCCACCAAGGCCTGGGCTGCCATCACCCCTGCCTCCGGTCACACTTTCACTCACTGCAAGCTGTGCCTGTCACCTCTTGTCCCACTGCCACCTGCCCCCAGCATGGTCACAATCCCACCCCTCACACTCTGCCCTGTGGCCCTGGCATGGCAGCATGGGGACGTGCCTCAGGGAAGCTGGAGGAGGGGGAAACCCCCACTGGTGTTTTTGCCAACACCTCTCCTGAACCCAGTCCCACTGTGCCAGAACCAGAAGCCTAGGGAGAGCCGAACACAGTTCTCCCTGTACCAGTTGGTCACCAGCATGCCAGGCTGAGGTGGACAGACCAGCAGCAGCAGCCTGTCCCAGGGCCATGCAGCAGCGCTCCCACACCGGCACAAGGCACTGAGCCATGCTCCCACTGGCACACAGTGCCCGGCCCAAAAGCAGGGGGGACTGTGCCACAGCTGCAGCATGGAGGAAGGCACTGGCTGCCCCACAGACTCTCCCCATGGTCAGGGAGCAAAGCAGAGGCCTGCAGACTCAGTGGCTCATGGCCCTCTGGACCACCACAGCCACCAATCACTCTGCAACGCATGCTCCCATGGCCACCGTGTGAGCAGGGATTCACAGAGACGCTGCCTGGCACCACTGCACAAGCACCACCCTGCCAAGCCTGCACATCCCCCCCTCCACGCCAGCTGCAAACAGCGCGGGGGCAAAGAGCACCCTGAGCTGGGGCAGCACCCAATTGATGTGGGATCTGGCACCAGCCCCACCCAGCCCTGGCAGCAGGACCTAGCAGCACCTCCACAGGCACAGGGTGCCCTGTCCTCCAGGGACACTGTGCTCCGGCACAGGCACTGCTGCAGCATGGCCCTGCCAGCAGGGTGAGACCCCCAATACCCCAAATTTCAGCCTTTCTTATTTTGGAGGCATCAAGATCCCCCCAGCTCCACTCCCACTGACCAGGGAGGAAGGAGCAGACCTGACAGGACAACTCCTTGGCGTGGTGGGACCTTCCCAGCTCTTGGCCAAGGAGCAGAAGGCACAAA